CGTGCCCTTCTATGCAACATGAGCGACTGCTTCAATTTATGCATGAAAATGGATCGTTTACACGCATTTATCAATGGACACACACTCACACACACAGACACACACGCATGCACACATATACACCTCCATTATTTGTATGCCATTGTACTTCAGCTTTGTTATATTTCAATTAAGTGAAGCAGATTTTTCCCAAAAATTCGTTAATATTTGTCACGTTTTTACAACAATTGCATGTGGGTGTATTTCTATGTGTGTGTGTGTGTTTGTGTGTGTGCTGAGTGCCTGCATCCTCTGTTAATTGGTATATTTGATTGTACTTCTAAAAATTTCAATCAATTTTTGGCGAAGCATTTGACATATTGCGAGTCGAGTTTGTTATTGCAGCCTAGGAATAATGATTACGTAATTAATTATAATGAATCGATTTCATTTCATGAGTCAATTAAATTACATGACTGAGTTGAGAATGCTGTAATTGTTTAGATTCATGTCTACAATTTGCTTTCAAAGTCTGATTCTAATATGATTATTATATATACTTTTCTATGGTTTCTTTTATTTAACAAATTAAATTTTGTGTATGCCTAATATTTTTCCTTTATATTTCTAAATAATTATATATTATTGATTGTCTAACATTTCTTAAAGTATCAAGCTTAAAAGTCAACATGCACTTAACATGATTAATTTTTCTGCGCTTTGCATTAGGCTTAACATTTTGTTGTTAACAGAGATTTTGTTTTAAGCATTAGCTCTGCTTCTGAGAGTTTCAAAACTTTTGTTTTTCGTATTACAAATGAAAGATAATTTAATTTCAATTATTAATGCCAGCTAGCTGAAGTAATATTATTATATTTTTTATATCAACGCTAGAAAATCTAAGAAAAAATAGACTAAAACAACTTTGAGTTATAGTTTTTCAAGCATTTTATTCAACTTTATATTTTGTATATTGAAACTCATAAAAGAGAAGCTGGCAGAGATCTAGTGGAGCGCAAACATAGTTGTTGATTCATCTGACCATTTTTTGTTACCTTTTTATCCGAGTGCACAGCACGCAAATCGATTCTAATCAATTAATGCAGCAACAGGTATGCGCATTTACCGTTGCACTTTAGCCAAATCGTCTGGATTAATGCGGCAAGCGCACTTGGCCAACATCGTAATATTCATATGGCATTCCACTCAAACGATTTAACCAATATGCAAATGCTCTGTATGTATGTATGTATGTGTGTGTGTGGGTGTGTGTGTGTGTGTGTAGCTCAAGTGCTTGCAAGCTCATTGAGCACTTTAGCCATTATATGTGTGGAATACAACTCTGGCAACAGCTGCAACTGCGTCTTCGTCTTCGTCTCTGCCTTCGTCTTCGTCTTCGTCTCCCTTTGCTGTTGCTTGTGTTTGCTGGCAGCAAATAAACACTTCTGACAGCGCCGATCGGATCAGTGTGCACCCACCTGCCCCGTGGCACCTGTTAGCTGTTGGCTGTCTGACAGTTTGTTTGGCTTGGCGGATGGGCGGTGGGAGGTGAGGTGGGGTCTGCTTATTTAAGCATGCAACGCGCCCACACATTCGCACATGCAACAGTTGAGCTGTTAACCAGTGTCTAAACCCCTCCTGCAGTTACTCTCTCTCTCTCTCTCTCTCTCTCTCTCTCTCTTCCCGCTCCCTGTTCCTGCCCCTTTTCTACAGGCAGTTTACGTCTGTCGCCGCTGTCTCCGTCTCTGTCTCTGCTGCTGCTGCAACATCATTTGCCCTCATTTCCGTTCGGTCGAAGGATATGAATCCCAATAGCACTTCCTCAGCGCACATCCGTTGCGACACGCCGCTGGCTGTGGCAAGGCAAAGACAGGGGAGGGCAGGGTCGGTCCGGGTCGGGTCGGACTGGGTAAGGAGCTGACTGTTCCGCCCGCTTGACGCTTGTCAACGCTACGCAACATTAGGAAAACGAATGAAACGGAAACGAACAAGCGATAAGTGTTGTCTACGTGTCTTCGGGTTGATTTTATTCTTTTTCCATGCATACCCTGAACTAAGCGACGCACACAATGGCACAAACAGGGTTAAATTGGTTTTATGCTTAAGCATGTGACTAGCGACAGGGCGTAGAGTACGCTATATAAGTATATGCATATTAAGATCTCTGATAATATAACTTAAAAAACTTCTTGCAATGAGCTTGAGCAAAGATGGAAGCTGCAATACTTTTTCCCTTTTTTTCATATTCATAAGAATTATGTTTAACAGCAAAAATCTCAAAGACTATAAGAGCTAGCGCTATTAAAATTAATACTCAACAACCTCTAGAGTGTAGAAATATTTCACTTTTCAAAAATCTCCTTCAGTGGACTTCTCGCTTTATAGATAGCTCAAAAATTTTTATACATAACTATAGAACATAGCATCAAAAACTGTATCAATAAGAAGGTTCCTCCTCTTTATAAAGATCTTCTTATGAGTTGATTATTTTATGTCTAACTCAGGAACTTTAAAAGCTATCGTTTTGGTATTTAACATACACTTCATTATCTCCTGTATAAAGATTCCTAATATCTCCTACATATGATTTTAATATATTACAACTCAAGAACTATACAACCTATTAATATAACAGTTATGTTGCTCATCATATACTTCACTTTCTAAATAACTCTTTATGTCTGGCTTATATTATAAATAACTCAAGAACTATAGAAGCCTTAGACGTGAAACTTGTTATAGGGCTATTCATATATCATATATATATGAATATTATTTCGTTTTCGCATATCTCACTCAAACCCAAAAGAGAGAAAGCCAGAGATCAAATCAAGTTTCCCTTCTATTATCATAAATTTGCATGTCAAATGTATATCAAATCTCAGGGTATTACCAAGTCCTTACTTATCGCTCACCACGCTTTACTACGGGTTGCAATGTGTGTGTCGGTTGATGGTGCAAGGCGTTTGGCACGATGTGTCCATAATGCCGCCACATGCCACATGACGCCAGCTGCCGCCCACTGGAAAGGCTTACGAGCCAAATAAGTGTCGTGTGTCTTCATTTGTCGCTGTCGATTGTGATGTTCGTTGTCTCCGTCTCTGTCTCTTTTGTGTGCGTGTGCGTGTGTGTGTGTGTGTGCACAATCAACTCAAATTAAATTCAATAACATAACTCAATCATGACCGCCCTTGCACACGCCCACGCCCACACCTAATGTCGCAATGTCCAGCGGCATTGTAAAAATAAATTAAAGTTGAATTCCGCCGGACTCTCTTGACGACTCTCCGTTGCTGTTGCTTACGCTGCTTATGGTTATGGCTATGGCTTTGTCCTGTCTGCTTCCTCTAGTCCTATCTACCAGCCGCCTCCTGCTCCTCCTTCTGCTCCTGCTCCTGCTCCTTATCATTGGGGCAGTCGTTCATTGTGTTTGTTATTTGTTGTCTTTGGCTTGCATAACAACAATTCAACTAACACAACGCCAGCAATTATTTATATTATTAAATCCTCTTGAGTGTCCTCGCCATTGTTAATATACCCTATAAATATAATAATTATCGTTGGGTATATATCTAGGCTATATATCTATAGGTAGCATATTGTTATTTGAGATTTTGGGCCAAGTCAAAACATGAGCATCGTATGCTTCACAAAGGCAAGAGAAGACTTGCAAAATCTGACGAGAGAAACCATAAGAAGCGCGACAGTCTAAACAAATTTGTACGCTTAAATTTGTTTGTAAAGGAAGCGCCTCAAATGAACATCAAAGAGAGAGAAAAGCAAGTTTGTTTATGAAATAAAGCAAGTACTTAAGGTTTCTCCTAGAGAGCTGGGGAGATTAGAACAATGAAATATTATTTAAATTATATAAAGAAGTTAAAGAGCGAACACATGCATAATTGCTTCAAGAGAGTACTAGATGACACTAGACCAAAGTGAAAAGCGGTGCTCTCTAGAGAGAAGCAGAAAGTAGAGAAGATTAGCAGAGAGGATTAGAGACGAGCTGAGAACAATGCTATGAAGCGATAAGCAATTGAGTGAAAAGGTTAGAAATTAAGACAAGCATTAGAAAGAAGCGAGGAGCAATAGAGAGTAGCGGTCAGAACTAGGTAATACGAGATAAATGTTGGAAGTACCGAAGATATGGGAAGTACCAAAGCAGAAACCACTAGAGAGAAGCAAGAAACAGCTGGGAGAATGGGAAGTACTAAGATTAATCGGTCAGCATTAGTAATAGAGAAAAGTAGATAATGATAATCTGTAAAGAACTTTCAGAAGCTGCATACGAAAGCAGACAGGGTTAAGAATTTGAAGAGAGAAGCGAGGCGCAAATTGAATGGCAGGAAAGCAGCAAGAAGCAAACAATAAGCAACGATTAGATTAAGGTATTAAATAGAAGCTTATCTAGGAGTCTGAGAAGCTTCAAAATATTCCTTTGGCTAACTTCTCTTCTAACTGTGCCCTGACTCACTTTACTTGAGATGAGTTAAAACAGAAAACAGGGTATTCCATAGTCCAGCCAGTGCGTGTAGGCATCCGCCATTTATATCAATTGTTGTAAGTGTTATTGTTGTCAGTTGAAGGCGTTACTTATGTCATGCCTGCGCCGCTTCGCAACTGTTGTTGCCATAGCCATAGTACAGTCCATTCGTCTGTCCCTCTGTCCGTCCTTCCCTACCTCCCTCCCTCCCTCTCTGTGCTGTCTGACCCATTTCTTCACAGCTTAGTTGGCATTTGCCGAAGCCAGCAGACAGACAGATGGACAGACGGACAGTAAGTAAACAGCAATAAAACAACAAAACAATAATTTGTTGCTTTTTATTTGAGCAATGTTAAATACGATATTATTGAATGGTAATCGCGGCCTACACCCAAGAGTATCCATATTTTTTGACAAGGGTTACAAGGCGCTGCACCAAAAGCAATCCAAACGAAAAGAAGAGCAGCAGGAGGTGGAGGAAGTGGAAGTCGATGTCGATGTTGTATTAACTGAAATGGAATGTTTGTTTGTTTGCTTACAGATTCTTCTACCTATATCATTATGCCTTCTATGCGTATCACTATCGCTTCAGTGGACAATATCGTAGTCTGGCCCTGCTCTCGTCGTATCTCTTCATTCAGGTAACTATGCGAATGCTGCTCCTGCTACTCCTGCTTCTGCTGCTCCTGCTACATAATGCGAGGCACAAACAAAAACAAATTCTTACGCAACTGGAGCCAAGCGCTGCCTGTCAGCTGCATGACAAATTACCCAGCGCATTATTGTTCAACTGTCTGTTGTCCGACTCTCTCGGTATGTCTGTCTCTATTTGACTATGGCCTCACGTGTAGACAGCATCCCGTCACGTGCCTGACAACTGAGCGCTGAGCTCCATTGCGTAACACACACTGGCTCTCGGCCTCGCCCTCTCTCGTTCACTCTCTCTCTATCTGACTCACGCTCCTCTTTCTCTCTCTCTCTCTCTCTCTCTGTTTTTAGCACTCAATGGTATTCTTCTTCCATCGGTACGAGCTGCCCGCCATTATGGCACAGCGTCATGTCTTCATCATCACGCGAAATCAAGCAAATGCAGCAGCTGCTGCTGCTGCTGTCGCCGGCGGCGGAGGAGGCGGTGGTGGTGGTGTTGGTGGTGCTGCTGCTGCTCCAGCTCCCGCTGTAGCTGGTCAACAGGCGGCGCTGCAACGTGCCCGGGTCATTGTGATGCGACTCTATAGACAATTGGCTGCACAGCGTCAGGGCCAGGCAGCTGGAAACGGAGCAGCCGGAGCCGGAATGGGTGCGGCTGGAGGTGGAGGCGGCGCTGCTGCTGCACCGGCCATACACAACAATCCCAGCGCTGCACTGGCGAATGCTTTGGGTAATTTGAGGCGGCTACCGTTGGTGGGGCAGTGGTTGCATGGACGCGACCAGTTTGCCACAGAGCGACGGGTATTCCTTGGCCGCGGCCATGGACACGGCCAGATGATGCATGTGCGGCTGCAGCGCATCAATATGGCCGACATACCGGGACTGCAGACGCGCGCTGCTGCGGCCGTGGCAGCAGCCAATGCTGCCGCGGTGGCTGCGCAGGCAGCAGCCCAGGCGGCAGCAACAGCTGCCCAGGCGGCGGCAGCAGCAGCAGCAGCAACAGCAACAACAACGGCAACCGATACAACAACAAATGAAGGTAACTAAGTAAATGATTGGGCACGATTTGTGCCCGGTTGTGTTCACTTCATTGCACTCAATTGGCGTCGGCTTTAAATCGCTTTTGGGGCAACAGTCTAATGCCACAAATAACTGTGACGCTCCGTACCCAACGAGTGTGCAATCAGCCGGAAGATAAATTTAAATATTTCGTTTCAACTGCACTCGAAAACGCAGTCACCAAACAACAACAACAACAGCAACAGCAAACAAACAAAAAATGTAACCAAAATGAAAACGTGGCAAATTCGAAAGGGAACACAGCAAAAACAAAAACAAAAAATGCCGAAAGTAAATGTACACAAATCTCTGATAGTCTCGCGTGTGTGCAAACAAGTTTGCGGCGGATTAAATACCCTGTGATACGATTATCTCTCTCCCTCTCTCTGAAGCTGCTTCTCAAGCGTAATTTGCCTAGAAGAAAATGGATTTTAAATTTTGAGTACTGTCTTTCTGTTTTAATTTGATTTAAAATTTGCGTTTTTATATTTATAATTTGTAAATAATAATGCCTTTCTGAATTTTATTGTATTTCTTTTATTATTATTTATATTGATATTTTCATAGTAGAGCGATTATTAGTCAAAATTAGAGAAATAAAATTGGATTTTTTTTACAAGTATTTATCGCACTTTTAAAACTTCATTTTCACAACATTGAATTAAATCTATTAATGAAAACCCATATTAATAATGTTTGCTTAATTTTTGAATTTTAAGATTAGAAAATAAATTCAAGTTTTCTGCAAGGCCAACTGTTTCTTTACGTAATTTGTAAAAAAAAATAAAAGTAAATAATGTATAATCTAAAATGCGAAATTCACAAAAGTTAAAACTTAAATATTTATATACATATGATCTGTTATCTAAAATCCGTAATTTTTACTCTGAAATCTATATTCTTAAATCATCCATAACGTACAAGTATGTGTAGCCACTGCATCAAAAATGCACAAAGATTTCGGACTAATATCCACTGTAGTTTATCCCGAATATATTTATGCCATTGCATATTGAGTGCCCAACAGGATTATACCCAATTTGGCAATGTTTCTTTTGTTTTTTTTTTTTTTTTTTTTTTCATCGGCTATCGTCAGGGTATAAAAAGGAGTGGCAATAAATGTCAAAGAGGCGTCGCACTCGCACATAAAACGTAGTCAATATTAACGATATAAAATATAAATGCGAAGCGAGTGTGTGGGCTGCTCAGTCGACCGACCGACCAATTTGCCAACCCAGCAGAGCTCCCCCTCTCTGCCTCTGGCTACCTTCTTTATGTGTTTACAATAATATGAAATTATTTCTCAATTCGCTGGCAAAATAAATACAAAAAAAAGAAATGGAAGACGAAGAGGAAGACGAAGAAGAAGAAGAAGAAGAGGGAGAAGTAGTAAAGTATTCAGTGAAACGAATGTTTTGTAAATTGTAACGCGCCTGTCATTTCCTGTTTTATTTTCACTTTACTTCATTGCTAACTTTGCCATTCTTTGCATATTTTAGATGTCGAATCAAATCATGGACAAGGACGAAACCAAGAGCCGGCAACAGCAGCACCAACAGCAGCAACAGCAACAGCAACAGCAAACAGCATCAATGATGCAGGAGTAACAGCAACAGCAGCTGAAGCAGAAACATTAGCTAAAGCAGGAGCAACAGCGGAAACAGCTCAGGACAAGCAGCAATTGGAGCTGGGTTTGGATCTAGGGCAGGCAGGCGTGTCTAAGATGTTGAAAAATCTAAATTCCGCTGCAGCGGATATTATAAATATGCCGGATACGCCTGAAACTACTACAGCAATAGCAACAGCAAGAGAAGTAGAAGCAGCAGCAGCAGCAACAACAGCAATAGAAAGCCTCAGTGAGCCACAGCCCCAGCTGCTGCTGCTGCCCACATTGGGCAAGCAATTAGCAAATAATTTGCCAGCTCAAAGAGCGCAGCAGACGCCGCCGTCGTCATCAGGTGAAAAGGAAAGCAGTTCGACTGACCAGCCGAGGCAAAGCAAAGTAGCAGCAGGAGAAGAAGCAGAAGTGGTAGCAGCAGCAGCAGCCTTCACGTCAAAACAAGACAGAGCAGACGTCCAGCCTGTGACTGGAGCAGCAGCAGCAGAAGCAGCAGCTTGGGCCAATCCAAGCACAATGATGGATGGCAGGCAAACAGTTGATTTTATAGAAGGCGACAGCTTCACGTCAACAGCAAATTACAACGCAACAAACCACATGCAACAACAGCAACAGCAACAGCAGCAGCGGGCAGAGGAGGAGGAGCCAAAGCAGCAGCAACAGCAACAGGAGTCGGAGGGGCTGCCGGCTAAGCTGATGAAAACTCTACCGCATACATCAAACCAAGTGACAACAGCAGCAGAAGCCGCAGCAACAGCCCACAACTGAATAAGGAGATAGACAGCCCACAGGATATTTGGGGCGCTGGGCGGACGGACTGTTAGTGGGCGTCCTAAAAAGGGGTTAGCCCCAAATTTGAAACACAACAACAACAGCAACAGCAACAGCAACAACCGAAAGCAACAACAAAAATCAAATGTTATACGAACAGAGCTAGGAAATTTTTAGATAATTTGCCGGGTGTACTTATATGTCTAGAGCAAGCTGAGCGAATGTTACTCCATGAGTAAGCGTGTGTGTGTGTATGAGTGTGTGTGTGGGTGTTTGTGTGAATGTGGGGGTGTGCATGCATGTGCGTGTGTCTAGACAAACTTTCAGATTTTCGGTACGGTAAATAAAAATATATATCAACTGTGTTACTTAGTGATTTTTATAATTTTGTTTGTTTGTTTGTTTGTTTGTTTTTAACTAAAAATTAATGTGTGTTAACCATGGCAACGGATCGCGATGTTCTCTGCTCACTTTTTAATTAGCTGCAGTCAAAAACTACTTGTTTTCATTTTGCTTGCAATAAAAAAAAAAGGAAAAAAAAAAAGAAATAAGAAACAAAAACAATATACATTATATATTATATTATAGCTAGTCGCTTTAACATAAAGTTGAAAAAGATTTGAATAAAATTATAATTCAAATATTTGAAACACAATTTTCAATTTATTTTTTAAAAATATTTGTAGTTTAGTTTTTACTTTCATCTAATTTGTTTTTAACGCCCCTGGACAAAGCCTTGACAATTGATATATTGGAATTGACTATTTTGTTTTTTTTTTTTTTTTTTTCATTTTTCTACACATTTCAAATGGATTTTTAATTTGCAATTCAATTCGTTTGAAGCATATTTGTTGTGCATTTCAGTGCGGATTGCATAAAGAGATATAATTACATATACATAGATATAAACACATACACGCGCGGAATATTTGCAGAATGCTTTGTGTTAATTAATCAAAATAAATAACTTATTGCCCGAAGATAACCCACAAAAAGTATAGAATTCTAAAAATTTACATTTTATTTTATTCATTGAGGTACATATGGATATACATGTGTGTGTGTGTGTATATCTGAAAATATGAAAAATTAAAGCAATTTAATGTTGACTAAACAAAAGTTCGCTTCTCTAAAGCGAAAATAAACATTTCTTATAGATTATACGACTATTTACTAACATAATATATATATACTAAGTCTTATATATATATACTGCGCATACAGAGAGAACGGACTTCTTGAACTACTCTCAAAATGTTATTTCTAAATGTGTAATGAAAAAATATACAATATTCAAAATTTCCTCAAGAGTTTTCTTTTTTTTTTTCTCGTACCAAAAAAGGCAATTTTTCTTAAATCAATAATAAAATTCAGTTGGTAAATCAATCTTAAGCTCTCAAACATCACTGAGGACATTCCGCCGAAAAGTTCCCTTAGTTTTCCCAAAGTTTTTGCGGCTGACAAGTTTCTGGGGCTTTAAACTTTAAAGCGAAATTGGCTAGCAGAAACTCAATTCGAATATAGCTAGAAAATGATTTTAAAATGTATTTGTGATTTGCGAAATGCTCGAAATGAAATTCTAATCAAATATTAAAGGCAGAAATCCTAAGGGAACATGCTCGTCTATACCAACTGCTTGGAGTACTAAATGATATTAAAAAGGAAGTTTTGTTTTGTTTTTTCCTAAGTAGGTTAGCTCTGCCTCTGTCCCTGGGGCCTTAGCGTTATGAACTCGTTTATACGGCGGGCAACGTGAGCAGATTGTGGATGAGTCAAAAGGTCACATATAAATAACTGCCGCCATTGTTAACTTTAAGGCATTATTTATATTTTTAACTGGAAAAAACAAGAAAAATAAGGAATGGGTACAATGCGTGTGTAGTTAGGGAGATTGAGGGATTACGAGGTAGGTGATATCTTGTTTCATATACTATATATACCTTATATTTTTATTTTATTATATTTTATTTATAGATTATATTATGAATGCAATTATTATAATTATCATCAAGGAGCTCGAGCTGGCGCGGCCTTGTGGTATATAAACTACCTATATTTTATAAACAATTCTGCCTTAATAATTTAATAGAAAAGCGGTTTGTATTTTAAGCTGGGAAATAATGTTTAACTATACGAAAATCTGTACATCAAAATGAGTTTTTATAGGTTCTTGGTGAACTGAAATAACTGCATGCTTTAAAACCTTTATATATTTGTTGTATTCTATTTTAGTTTTTGTTATACAATTTCTTTTTCATAGGAACTTTTTTTTTAATTTGTTGCTGTGCCATTCCAGAAAATATTTTTACAAATTCGTTACATAAAAAAAATCAAAATAAATCGAAAAACAAACTTGTTGTAGCTCACACTTTCTGACTCTCCGTTTCTCTCTTTCTCTGTCTGTCTGTCTTTCACCCAGCTAATGTTGGGTTCGACGTTAATCTAACGCCACTACATCCAAGTCCCATACCCAATCTCAACTCTATTTGAAGAATGCACGTTCTGATTAGTTTTAATACGAACTTAATAACTCTAGATAATTTAAATAATTATAAATACAACATCAAATGCGATATGCTGAAAACTTTCCATTAGTTTGCTGATTTATTTGATAGCTTTTCTGAGAAATAATTTCATGAAGAGATATCTCTACTAAAATACTTGGAAGCCAATCGATTGCTTCGATGATTTATGCAGAAACAAATAAATTTCGAGCAGCGAGTGTAACCCACATCAGTAAAATGAACTTCTGAAAGTATATGAGTGAGAGAGAGAGAGAGAGAGAGAGTGAGAGAGGGAGCTGGAGTTGAAGTTGGAGAGAGTGAGAGCTACTGTGTATAAGCATTGAGCGAAAAATGCGTTGAACTTAATTTAAATTAAAGATAAACAAATTATGCGCCATCAAAAGCTGAATACGTTTTGCATATTTTGGGTTTTCGAATTAAGTTAAAGGAATACAATGTAATAATAATAATAATGATTATGATAACACCAGACAGGCAGGCGAAGCCAGGCGAGGCAACCCAGAACGAATTGGAAATTTTGCTCATGTCAGTCTTAAATGCTCAAGTTGGGTGCTTAGCTTTAGCTGCTGATAGATATTATGCATGCCAATGTCAAGATGAAGTACACACACACCCAGCTCATCATGATCGTCATTATCGTCATCATCATCATCATCATCATCATCATCATCATCATCATCATCGATAGGTTGGAAGTCGCGGCCAAACTTTATGCCAAAGTATGTAAATAAAACAATGCAAATGTCTGGCAGGGCACGTCGGGACTGTGCTTGGAGCTAGCTTGAGATTGCGTCTCCTTGGGCAGGACCAACGCACTGCCAGCCAGCAGCAACTGTCGCTGTCAATGCGCATTCCTTCCAGTTCGCTGATGTGAGCCAAGCCAAACATCCTACAATAATAAACAAGCGCATCGTGTGCCAGCGACTACAGACGTCAGACGAGACACGCCTGACATGTCATGTGGGTGGGCAGGAGGATTCCCACACCCGAACCCAACCCAACCCAGCGCAACTCCCCTTCCCAAAAAAAAAAAAAAAAAAAAACCCAAAATAAAAATATCTTCAGTCGTACATATTTATTACAGCAAAAGGCGAGAGTAAGCGCCTCGACACGGCCCGGGATATAGTATATGAGCAACGTGCGTCTTTGATTAACATCTTATGGAGCAAGCCGAAAAAAAAAAAAAACGAGAAAGAAATAATAAAATTTGAGCATGTGAAACAAGGCGACTTCATTTCTTATCAATGTATTTGACGTGAGGCTACTTTATCTGCTGATTATTTGCTCATTTGTTTCGGCATGAGAAACTTTTCAATAAAAGATGCGAATGTTGTCGCAGCATAAAATGATAAACAAATCATTTGCATATCATTAATGCAAATGTGAGTGGGTGAGTGGGTGTTTGTGTGTGTGTGTGATGTTGTCATTAAAAGGCTTGTCATACAGCCTAGCCACAACCACATACGCATTTCCGCCGCCAACGACATCCGACATCCGGCGTTTAAATGCGGCTGTTAATCACAAGTCAAACAAAATGCTGCATACTTTTAGGCTGCGCCGACTAATTATACGTATTTATGTGCCCATGTGTGTGTGTGTGTGTGTGTGTATGGGTGTGTGCTTGGCTGTTGTTTGTGCCTTGGGCATATGT